CATATAAAATATGCTCGATAATTTCGTTTGTATGGAAGAAAACGCCTAGCACCATCAGCTAAAAATATTATTAAATAAAAATTAAGGCGATTTTCTAGCGTCTTGCACTTTAACCTACTAAAATTTAATGAGCTACATAACTGCATACCCAAAATTTATCTAAAAATTCTAAATGAAAAGTTTAACATTTTTGGGTGCAAATGTTAAAGTTTGTTGAATTTTCGTAACTTTTGTACGAAGTTTCAAATGTGGATTTATTGGCACTGGTTTAGTAAAGTGCTAAACTTTTATACAAAAAAGCATTAACATTAAATAAACAAAATAAAAATAGCCAAAACTAGTCAGCTGACCACAAGTGTTTATGTAGGTATGTACATACCAGACATCTGCAGCGGGTGCATGATTTTCGTGTATACTCGATCATCTAACAAAACCCGTTTTGCATCGTTCTCTGTATACGATCAGAAGTATTGTTCGTTATCGACTGAGCTCAAGACGAACATGTTGGCCACAACACCCGATTGCTTTTCATACATACTTGATTGGGTTCGGGTGCTTTGCAGCTCAATATACCCGGGTGTTCGAGTTTCAACCCGAGTGTGCACAAAATTTTCTTGATTGGCTTATGGCGTTTTTGTTTCTGCAAAAAATGTTGCCTTCTCATCGCGGTGTTCTTAGTTTTTGTGCGTAGAGGGCAAAGAGAAGGTTGAATTTTTCGGTAGTTTGTTTAAGTGTACATTTAACCATTTCTTATATTTTTGCTCATACAAAATGCGACATCACGACGCCTACATCCATTTAGGTATAAATGTGTGTAGATTGGCAATGCCCAAGCCCTATACACTCGGTGCACATTTATTTTTTGTAAAAGTACTTATGTACCTACATAGTTTTAGGCTGTGTTCTAATATATACACACACAGCTTTCCACGCGAAACTATACGAAATAGATGCAAAAACATTTTTGTCTACTTCGCTTCTAATTTTTTCATTGCGTATGCACAAGCACAAAGCAACAACATTTTCGTATGCTTTGTGGGAACATATTGGCGCCAGTTACCTTCAGCGTAAATTTCTTTGTTGTCCTGCATTTTATCGCAATGTTCGGGTGTCCGTTTCATTGTTACACAAATTTTCGGGTTCGCTGCGGGTGTCCGAGTGTGGTGTTCGCTTATGCTCAATTTATAGCGAGGGTGATCGAACAGACTCGTTCGTAACCAAAGCAGCTGTCGGGTATGCATCTCGATCGAACACATAGTAGCCGAGTGTGGCGTTCGCTTGTGCTTGATTTTTAGGGAGTGTGATCAAAAAGGCTCGATCATACTCAAAGCTGTTCTCTGGTACATACATACAAATTGAATATATATACATATATACACACATCTGGCACATACATAAAATTAATTCGCAAAAACGCAAGCCAAAAAAGTGTAGCCATGTAATACACAGCCAACGGCGAGACCGTCCACAATCAGTTTCCCGTTGAGGTTCACGCGTCCAACACGAACCAATAAAATGTTGAACACTTGGAGTGCGTAAGTGTCGATCAGTTAGTGGCGCTGACTTGCATTTGCACTGGAGCGCATTTTTTCGCATTCTCCATTATCAGCTATGCACTTTTTGCATAGAAAGCTTACATAAATATGTACTAAGTAAATATTCGGTTTTTACGCTGGTGTGTACGGTGCTTTGACATTTTTTCTTATTTGGGCAAAAATCATTCAAATTCAATTTTTAAAAGGAGTCCAAACATAGATGTATAAGTATATTTAACATCTGTGTTTAAATACTTTTGTGCTAATGGCTAAAAAAGAATCATTAAGACAAGCGGCGGCAGTTGGTACAATGACAGCGCAGGGTTGGCATTTTGTATTCCCGCCCCACCAACATTGCTGTTTGTGACGAAGCCGGACGGTAGCGTATAAAGCCAACAATTACAAAGTGAATTAAAAACTAATAAATAAGTACATAGAAACCTGATAACAGCAGCTGTTATTCAGTAATGACATTTATTCAGCGCAAACTACAATTTCTTTTTACCTACACACGAGTATGCGCTTAAGGTACTCAGTATTCGCACTCATTTTTAAAGTACATAGCAGTCTTAACTCAATGATAAGGTCGCACAAGTCTATAACTACATATATACTTAAATAAAATTTTAAAGGGTATTTTAATAGGTGGTTACAAATGTTTTCATTTAAATTTAGCGAACAAATTAGCACGTCAGAAATTATATCAATTAAGTATGTACATTAGACTGGATACAAAAAAATCATTTCTGTTTTTCCATTGGACTTATATAAGCTATTATATTTTTAGACTTGCACAAAAATATTTCGGAAAAATATACCTCCAAAAATTAAGCTTTTTGAATAAAAATAGTTATTTAAAGTATTAAAAAAATTACCTCAGATGAAAAATCAGTTTAAGCCATGATAAAAACATAGCAAGGTAGAACCGTTCTCTCATTTTGTCGGCCATGATTTTTTTTTAAGTTTGCCAGCATTTTAAAATCATATAAAATTGAAAATAAAAAATTGAAATTGTTCGAAATTGTTGTTGCTTGAGATTGAAAATGAAAATGTGTGTGTGAGTTTGTGAGTAAATTTAAAAATTAAAATGTTTGAAAATGTCAAGAATTTTAAAAGTAACTCTCAGCGGTTCTACCTTACTATATTCTTATCATGGTTTAAGCTTGAAAGATTTCCATAAAAATATCTAAACAAATTTTCTACTCATAATAATGAGATTTTTGATGCTGTTTTTTGAACTTTTTGAAAGAGAAAAACTTGAATAACTCAGCCAAAATTTTGCCAATTTACACTTATGAGGTATCATTGCAAAGGCATTTTCTTTTCCTTTTTCAAAGTATGAAAGAGAAAGATAGGATTAAGACGTGTTGATATTTGAAAAAAAAAAAATATTTAGACGTGAATGAGTTTTTTGCAAAGGAATAAAAAGAGTGAGGAAGTACCTTTCCACTGATACCATGATAAAAATATAGTAAGGTAGAACCGCTGAGAGTCACTTTTA